ATCTCGAACGCTATAATTATAGAGCTTCTGCAGCAAAATTTTGTGATTCACTAGATCAAATGCTTTCGCGAAGTCGAGATAAATAACATCCACCGCATCCCCTTCGTCAACTGTACTGGTCCATTAATCTCGAACGAGAAGCGGGTTCGTGGTGCAGGACCGCTTTTTGAGCTGTCGAGAGAATGTTGTATCTTTCGAGATGTTCCATCAGAGAATCGGCCACAATTGACTCCATGACCTTCGACAACACCGGAAGCAGGGTTACAGGTCTGTAGTTAGCGGGGTCACTACGACAACCACCTTTGTATATGGGCGAAATGACTCCTTGTTTCAACGAGTCGGGGAGTGTTACTTGGTCGAACATTCGTTGAAACAGAATAGCTAGCGGTTCGGCTATGTGATTTTCCAAAAAGATCAGAGATTTCGGGTGTATGTTGTCCGCACCCGGGGTTGCGTTTTTTCGCAAAGCCATTAGTTTTGCTTTGACGTTTTCAGCAGTAAATGATATGTAGGTGAGTGAAGGATGTGGAAGATGATGCAACCGGTGGGGTAGTTGTAAATCTTCAACCTGCGGTGCTGCAAATACGTTGGAATAATAAATTTTCAGCATTTCCGCTGCTTCCGTTGGAGTGGCTGCAACTCTTCCAGCACTACTTAGTACGGGTATACCAAACTTTACTTTCCGAATGGAGTTGACGTGTTGGTACAACAGCTTAGGGTTAGAAATGAATTTTTGTGCTTGCGCCTCTTGGTATTTCACTTTATCCTCACGTATCAGCTTGGTGCAGTGGTTCCTCAGCATACGGTAATTATTCCATGTGACAGCATTCGGAAGATGATTATAATCTGGCCAGGATAAGTCCCTCGTCGATAGCCATTTCCTTGTGCGGCTTCGAACAGGTGAATTTCGGATGCCGGATTTGGTGCTTACTCTAGTTTTAGTCACGGATGTTATTATATTTGTTAGATTTTCAGTAAATTTCTTCCATGCGACCAACGGATTAGCTTCTTCGTCATAAGAAACTCACTGAGCAGAGAGCCCCAAGTTATTCAACAGCATATAGTCTATAGATCCGCTCGTGTTACCAGAGGAACTTCCTTGAATCGATGCGTAACAGACGTATTTGAATGTAAGTACTGCTTGATCGCTACGTCCTAGGGGAGAAGTCACATTGACAGACTCTACCATTAGCTCCTCATTGGTTAACACTGAATCTAGTGTGGGCGGACGGTATCTGATTTATTGAGATTGGGGCAGTTGAAATCACCGGTTTGTTCACACACTGTTATGTGAACTTCGATTACGAAGGCTATTATTTTCGTTCCAAAGTATGCCTGCCACGTAAACACACGCTGAACCAGGATGCAACTTACACAGTGCATTGATCGTGGGAGATGATTCTATTTTATCTTTACAATTCAATTCACTGAAGAGAAAGGAAGGTATGATGGTCGTATAATGGAGAAAATAGTTTTCGGTTGTTTGTACACTCATACGGCAAGTAAGGAAGATATATTAATCACCAAAATAAATGAAATGCCTTTTGTGAGCAACTAACAGGGTTAAAAACTAGCTTA